TCACGTAGGTGTAGGCAGAGCCGTAAATGTAGAGAGTTTGGCCATTCGTTGGGAAGTATAGGAGACAAATGAAGAGGCGCCATTGGCCGAAAGCGGGCTGTGCGTGTTCCAGGGCGTCTTCAGAAATTCGAATGTGACCAACCAGAAGCCGGAAATAATGCCCTGGCGGTGGTCGCGAGAAACAAACCTGATAACTGCATTGGAGTAACTCTCAATGGCTGAAAATATGGTACACGTGATGTTTCAATCACGTTAATCCAAAATGACGGTGGAAGAGTGCGACTAGCGGAACGATCGACATGATCCGTACGCCAAGCGCCCAGGGCCGGGAATCTGCCGTCCGAACGTTCGTGCAAAACAGAGTTGCGCGGTGCATTCGTTTCTTACATCTTTCTGCATGATCATGATCAAAACAACACGTGCACCCTATTTTCAACCACGAAGAGTTACTACACTTCACTCTTACGCGTTTATTAAAACCATATACGAACATAGATTTTTGATCAGAACTGTTTGCCGCTACCACCGCTAGGGGATTCTTTTCGGCTTCTGGTTGGTCAAGAGAGCATGCCAAGCCCTCTTTCCGACTCTGCCGCACGCCCTGACTCTGCCCGCGCCTCCCATTGACCAAACTCTCTCAATACACGGCTCTGGGTGTAGGCAAGTACATATATTGTGAAGCCGATCACCCTGGAGCTAGAGAGCGTGATTCTCACACCGCGGTACCACCATTAGTGAAAGTTGAAAATACTCAGAAACAGCTTTCCTTGTCAATAGACTCAAAGGTACGGGCACGCATGGCCTCCCCCATTTTCAGCGCTGAATAAAGCTGTGCGCGCTCTCCTCCTCTACACAGAAATGCTGAAAAAAAGTTGTCCCCGTGTATGTTATTTTAATCTCTTCTTCCCAAAGCTTGCTGACCTAGCTCGGGATCATGACAATATTGACGTGACTAGTCAAGAGCACGACCTACTCTATTAGCGGCGAGATGTTTCGGTAGCGCCCTCGCTTGGTTATCTTTCGTGACGTCATTACGTTGTGAAGAACGAGTTGAATGGTATTTGTAATGAGCATGGTGAAAGCCTGAAATCATAGCGCTCTCAAAGTTACACTGCCCACATCGTGAAAATTGAAGTGCTTACATTTCTCTTATTTGCGTCGATTTGATATCCTTTGCTGACGTCATAGTCAGCATTCGGCCAATTGTGGTGGGCCGACCACAGCAACGCTTTCGATCGCTCACGTTGCCAATACTATATAGAGTTGGCCGTGGCCAAGAGAGCCACCCCAGGATGGTGATAGTCTCATTCAGCTCATGTACTGCGCTGACTAAAATCAAGATGCGGGCGAGCTGATTTAATTAATTTGACTTGTGGGTTGCGTTTGCCCACTTTGTACTTCAGGGATAGAAAGTAAAAAAAATTTGCGACGATCACACGACGTGATACATTTAGACGGCGTCAGTTGTGCTGACGCTGTCTAAATGTTGACTGACGTTAATCGATATGACGATCGATTAACATTACCCCGATCGTGCGTCATACGATGATCTGATATTGAAATGACGTTGCGTTTATCTAGCGTCGACACGTTGTTGATGAATAAATGTTTTTAAGGTCGTGATATGTTTTCCCGCCAAATTTAGCGGGGAAGCTGAATTGCTGCAAAGGTCACGTGATGTATATTTTTTCGCTAAATTTAGCGGGGAACTTGAATTTATGTGTAGGTCTCGTGACGTCATGTCACGTGACATCAATTTTCCCGCCAAATTTAGTGGGGAAACTGAATTGGTGTATAAGTCACGTGACGTCAATTTTTACGCTAAATTTAGCGGGGAAATTGATTTGGTGCATAGGTCACAGGCAGGGCTGTGCTGTATCGCGATACAAATGTATCGCCATAGTATTTAAGAAATGCATTTAGTATTTATGTTTCTTTATCGCGATACATGTTTTCAATCAGTGTTTGTATTTCAGTATCGAAATACATTTTTGGTGTATTCCTTGTATCGCGATACAATCCCGGGCCAATGTACCTCGTTCTCATGTTCGAGAAATCAGTGACGTCCAAGCGAAAGCTCAAGAGATTGTTTTCTTTCTTCTTTTGTGCTTCAGAGAGGTAGAAGGTACAGTAAATGGGACCTTGAGACTTTGTTATCAAGCAGACAAAGGTTTGTTTCGAACAACATGGCCTCGACAGTGGTGACTCCCTTCCCTACTTTACAAATATAACGTTTGTATTTTAGAGCGCCTCAGTTGAGCAACTACTTTTTTTTTTTTTTAGAATCAAAGCGTTGAAGGCACTGTGGCGAGCATTATATTTGTGCATTGCACTCCCAGGCCCCAGCCCCATTTTCTAGAGCAAGCGTAAAGTTAGTTCCTTCAGATCGTCAGATAAAATAACAACATTTCATTCAAAGGTGACGTCTTGAAGTGACTGCAGAAAAGGTACCGACATGAGATTAAAGGATGCTGACCTGGCGGGGATATTTGGGTAGACATAAAACGAATTTATAGGTTCGTGTGGTATTGTTTCGAAGGCGCGCAATAGAATTAAGGGAGATCTGCACTGCATTCTGGATGGAAATTATTACTAACCTACTGGAAACTCGCTTAGTACCCAGAGCTTTCTGTTAAAAGGAAAATGACGATTCCACGTGAAAATAAATTCGAACGCGAGAACGTCTAAGTTCAACTTCAATCTTTACATCACGGTTAACAAAATATTGTTTTTTTTTTTTACTGCAGGATTATTTTATTGCTTTAGACGTACAAACCTTTTCAACGAAGCCTACCTATTACCAGCTCCAAGCGAGGTCTTTATGTACCATTGAAAACCATTGAATATATATATATATATATATATATATGCATCGTTTAAAACTCTCTTTTTTTGAGAGCGGTCTTCGTTTCTTTCAGTAAGAATTAGTGTTCATTAATACTTGCAGAACGCTTAGTCTCGTTCGCTAACATGACTATTTGCCCAAATTGGCAGCAGCAGATCGACGAGCTATTTAAAAAGCTGCTTCTTATCAATTGTGTTCGAGTGTAGCAGCAAATTCGTATGTTTACTTTTGTTTTGTATTGCTTTCATATGAAAAAAATAAAATGTCTAGCGAAAAGTTCTTTCATTCCTGTTTTGCAAATAGTAACATTTTGCTGGTAATACAAGAAATCACATCACGCAAAGTTCTCTAAAAAAATGTATGTGAGTATTGCTGCCCCGGCAAAATGCTTTCCCCCCCTTCGCGCGCTTTCTGGGCCGCCATAGCCGACCTTCAGTTTCTCGCCGTTGCTCCGCGTTGTGTGCTGCACAGGCCACTACCGGAGCTTCGTTTTCGTGCTCTTTTACGTTGCGCGTTCAAATCTTATATTTTCTTTAGGTCCTTTCGATATTTAGGACTTTCATTTAATCATTTGATATTTATATTTCGACATAGCTCTTGTATTTTCTTATTTATATGGAATGGAATCGGAGAGCGAATGGGTCGACGATACAAGATTATGAGGCTTCAATGACCATATAAGTTCATCCCATTCTTACATTTTTGTCGCTAATCAAGGCCAGTCAACACTATTGCGACATATGTAAATTGCAACTGACTCAGTAAGACTATCACAGTCGTGCTTCTCGCTGCATGTGCGCGCTTGTTTCCGTAAAGCCGACCCGGATGTAAGCGATTTAGCGTGCGACGAGACTAGCGACGGAGATTTCTCACTGTCGCCCGTCGCATCGCTCGGTTTTGGGATCTCTAGAAAACGTCGCTCACCGTCTTGGTCGCTTGCTCCGTCACTTCCATGCGGTTTGCCTCATCGCGGGACTGACATGAGCGATAGCGAAGCGGGTCGCCGTCGCTTATCTGGTCGCTCGCCGACTCGGTTACATGCGGTTTATACTCAATTAATTTACATGCACACAGCATTGAACCATTGTCACCGTATGCAAGCGATTCGGCGAGCAACGAGACAAGAGACGGTGACCCGCTTCGCTGTCGCTCGGCTAGTCGCGCGACGAGGCAAACCGCACGGAAGCGACGGGAGCAAGCGACCAAGACGGCGAGCTACGTTTTTTAGAAACTCAAACACCGGGCGATGAAACAGGCGACAGTGAGAAATCTTCGTCGCTGACTCTCGTTGTTGTCGCCTTCGCTCGTCTCGTCGCACGCTAAATCGCTTACATGCTGGTCGGCTTTACGGAAACGAGCGCGCACATGCATCGAGAAGCTCAACTGGATAGCTTTACTGTGTCAGTTAAAATTTGCTTATGTCGCAGTGGTGTTGACTGCCCTTTATTAGCGACAAAAAGGTTAGAATGGGATGAACTTCATGGTCTCTGAAGCCATAATCTTGTATCGTCGATACATTCGCTGTCCGATCACATTTCATAAATAAGAAAATACAAGAGCTATGTTGAAATATAGATATTAAATGATTAAATGAAAACCCGAAATATCGATAAGACCGAAAGAAAACACACAATTTTAATGCAGAACGTAAAAGAACGCGAAAACAAAGCTCCGGGAGTGGCCGGTGCAGCACGCAACCCGGAGGAACGGCGAGAAACTGAAGGGCGGCTATGGCGGCAGGGTCACGTGACGTCAAGATTGCGGCGCCCATGAAATGTTGCCTGAAAGCGTCTATATTTGTATTTGCGAACACTTTTATCATTTTCAAATGTATTTCTGATTTGTAGAGCGATGCTTTTCTACGGGTGTCCTTCAGTATCAGTATTTGAGCTGTCCTCGTCATGTACCCAAGTATTGGTATTTCCAAACACTATTTAGAGTATCTCTGGCCAACTCTGGTCACGGGGCGTCAATTTGTTTTGTTAAATTAAGGGGAGAACCTGAATTTGTCTGCAGGTCCCGTGACGTCAGGTCACGTGACATCAAGTTTCCCGCCAAATTTAACGGGGAAACTTTTAGTTTACGCTCACACCGCCGAGAAACCGGGGAACGAGCCACTAACAGCTGACGCTGTAAAAGAAAAAAAAAACTGACATCAACAATAAATAAGTTTTATTGTCCGGGAACACTGTAGAATACATTCTCTAGCGAAGTTCTGACGAAGCGTAACATGATATTAATACATTTGTTAGAGCGGCGTATTGTACAAGGCAGACATTAAGTGTTACATGATTATCACGTACCGATCGCGTCACATGCGAGGAGACAGAGGAGCCTTCTTGGCCACGACCGGGAGCTTCTCTCCTTGCAGGTACGGGTTGGTCCCCTGGAAAAAATGTATCATCTTTAATGTGGCGTAGTCAACCATGCATTCTAAAAAAAAGGGTGGTTTGTAAAGTTAGCTTTCCCGCAGAACACGAGGCACCAAATCACGGAGTAGTATAGAAGGATCTTAGCGAACGGCAAAGTTGGTAATAGGGAGTTTTCGTAGAGCTCCCTAATAGGGAGTTCTCGTAGGACGCACTTCCCCCTCCGCTAAGCTCTCCGCAGCGTTTCGCGACGGCGAAAACCATTTGCGAAAACTCCCTAATACCACTTGATCTCGAAGATGCGATGTGTGCAGGGACGACGGGCAAATAGACCCTTTTCTTTAGTCCACACCATCGCCTGTCCGCCATTGCTCGATCACGTATTCCAAGCATGTATTAGACACGAGTGCTTTGTCAGTGTTCTGCGAAAACTCGGATCCAGTCACGTGTTTCGTGTTCAAGCAATGGCGACCGCCAATGTTCCTTGATGGCCTTTTGAAAATGATCTATTGAAACATCATGCTCTTTGTCCCTGCAAAAATCGAGTTTTATGGGTCTAATTGAATTCTTATATTCGTCATATACTGAAATCCTTTTATGCACACTTTCCGAAATTATGTGTCATCTTGTGGCTCAAAAAGGGGTTTCACTTCCAACAAACAAATGGCGGTCATGAAACTGTATATACTCGGGCACCATTGCATTCGCAAGTCAATGGCAAAGAGGAGCTTGTTCTTGAATCACCTCATAATTCTTCCTCGATTAATTTGAGCTTCCTTGATACGGACATAGAAACTGACCAGTACAAAGCAACGGCCTATAGAGACCCCTTCAAAAATTGCGCCCTCCTAAGGTCTATCTGAAGATACTGCAAAGTACCGTGCGCAAAAAACGCTAACTAGCTGGAAATTCTATTGCTGATATAATGCTCACTTCCGAGTGACTGTATCAAATCGATCAACCTGCCATTTTCATGTGTGTGTTTTTTTGTTGTTTTTTTTTCTTTTTTTTTTTCTTTTTTTTTTGCGCACGCTTTTCTGCAGTATTTTCAGATCGACCGTAAGCGGGCGTAATTTTTTGATGGGGTCTATAAGCCCTCAGATTTCCGCCATTGCATCCAAAGAATTCAGAGCCAAACTTGTGCCAAAAAAAAAAAAAAGAAGCACACTAGAAAAAAAAAGAACGCTTACGCAGTCGTTATGTTTAAAGGGCGATTCACACAGTTGCGTCGAGTCCGACCGGCTGCAACTGAAACGGTTTGCGATGTACGGGTCGCTTTGGCAACACCTGCGTCTACTCCAACAAAACAAGTGCGACTGCGATTTACCTTTTTTTTTTTTTTTATAGTGTGCAACCAAATTATTCAATATTTTAGATTTTATAGCGCTGCAGTACGAGAGCAAGAACCGAACGTTTCTTTAATAATTGACGAAACACAATCAGATCAGTGTGACACACTGGCCCGCGCCTTCGGGGGCGGTGTTCTTTCTGAGTTTTGGGCTATTTGCCGCCTTTCCCCCGATTCACACGGTGCGATTTTGCTTGCGATGTCACTGTTGCGAAGTCGCTAGGGCGGTCAAAAAGGCGTGGGTGAGGCGGCGGTGCTCAAACGTTGCAACTAAGAAATTTCAAACAAAATCGCACAATGCCAATCGAGCTTTTGTCTTGCGCTCGCACAGCCACAGCTACCGGAATTCGCCAAGAGGTAACTTTTTTTATATATATTAAGTCATATTGTCTATATTATACAACCGACTGCAAATTTCCGATTGAAATATGTCAGATATAATATGGTTAAAAGGTTAGTTATAGAACGTGAGTTAACTAGACCACTAACCTTTTATTTATGCTTGAGCCTTGACATCTGCCTCGGTATATAACATTATTCGGCAGGCATATTTTTTTTAGTTTCGTTTTGCGTTTTTTTTAAATAATTTTCTTCTTGGAAACATATACAGTATACTACTCCGTTATGGATTGCACATTGTGTCATTCAGAAAAATTAATTACGGCTTGCTCATAATCACACTTATCTGCAATGAAAGCTGAAATTCTCTGCAATTAAACTTCTCTGCAGTAAAATCTAAAATGATTACTAAATAAATAAATAAGCAAACTTCCTTACAAAACTTCAATCGAGCACCATATAGACGGCTTTCTATATTTTTTTTTTAACTTACCAAGTTTCTTAATTGTTTGACGCTTTTCTTGGTCTTTTGCTGGAATCGCTTTGAATATCGTGCGCGATGCTGAAACAAATAGAAAAACAAAACATACTTTTAGTTTTCGGATTCACACGCTCTGTACAAACAGCCCCATAGTCCCGCCCAAATATTTGTCGCCCCTTAAATCCTACGTACCTCATTATTGAAGAACTTCTTGGCCATCACCGTCTTGTGCTGACCTTCCACCTGTTAGATAAGAATACGGAAAATCCGAAGAGCAAAGGTCATTTATATTTATGGCAAACACCGCCACTGGGGTATCAATGTATAGTGTCTATATTTCTTCTCATATACTGTCTAATGCATCATTTAAACTTCAGGACAGCCCCCCCCCCCTCCTCAATTTCCGTAGGAAAACGGCGTACAGATGTACTACTTTTGTGACGTCACAGAAACAGAACAGGGGAGGTGGATCCACTAGCGGTATTTGTTTCCAACGAAAGAAATGGCCGTATGATGCCGATCAGGTATTAAAGTGACACTTTTTTTTTTTTATTGCGGGTAAGACCTCTTCTGTTTTTTCTTAATACTATACATAGTTACTTAATACTAAGCTATGTTTATTTCGTATCCCCATTCCTCGATTTTCTCGTGGGCGCCGCCATTTTTTTGCCCAGTGCAGAGTGGGCGCAACTGGTGGCAGTCAACAAAATTAATGGGGCTTCCTGAGTCTACTCGGTGTCAGGCGATCTCGTTTTACTTTGCCATGGGCTGTTTTAACATTTCCGGAAGACGGAAAAGAGTGTTCCTCGATTTCAGATTAAGGTTCTTATATCTGGGAATCATTATTTTAAGCAAAGATACGGCAGAAGTGTCGTAACTCCAGACCGTAGTTTATTTAGTAGACCTATGTTGGAAGTGAGCACACTTTAAGAGGTGTCTTGCAATTAAGGAATTTTTAGAACACTTTTTCATTCCTTTCACATTTCTTTGGCGCCAGCCAGCATCGCCTCTTCCATTTATATGAAAGGCCCAACGCAGTTCGCCCAAAGATCAACTACCGATTGGACGCAATCGCTAAGTGATCCCCAGCTAGACGCTGTCGTCCAATCAATATCTCGCGTTAGTATGACGGTAATGTTCTCTGAAAACTTGAAAAGAGTCCACTCACTTCAATGTCACTGATAGTGAGTGCACTCGCTCCCCCTGATAGTAAGTGCACTCACTTCAATGCCCCTGATACCTTCGTCATGACGAGGATATCAGGAGCATTGCGTTATTGACGGCGGCATTGCCACACGTGCCACACATTTTTTTCGTAAACTTTCATAGAATCGGTCCGCTTTCCGGAAGCCTATGTGGTTAAATGATTCTGTAAAGCACGTTTGGCTGATTTATTTACTTTTGTTGTACAGTGTAATGAACATCGGACAGATGTCATCGGCAAGTTACAGCTTTCTATGGCGCTGAAAGTTGGGTGGTAGCGGAACCATACTTCATCTCTTGCGCAGTGTTATCAAAGACACTAAACTGGGAGCTTAGCTCAGCAAACAGGTTTGTTACCAAGAGCAGTCGCGCAAGGATAACACATTCTAAATATTTTTACAACAACCCGCGACTGTGGGAACAATACAAAATGGGGACAGTTCACACGGGGTCTGTAAGGCAGCTATACTGTTGTCTGTTCTGTTCCTTGCGCATATCGTACGTTTATTCACCTGCTAAACGCAACAACGCGCTTTTTCTCCCCCCCCCCCCCCCCCCCCCCCCCCCCCCGAAACCTCAACCAATGACGGCGCGTACTTGACTGCTTTGTCATCGCGAGTTTCCTGCGCGTTCTCTTTGGTGCCCGTTGATTGGTGTGCCACTCTTTGCGTTTCGATGCGCTTGCTCGCCGTATAGCCGCGGCCTCAAACACGCGGCCCGCGACCCGCAAGTAACTCACTGACATCCACCCCTCCCCTCCCCCTCACCCCCCCCCCCCCCCCCTCTTTGCCATGTCTTGTGTGCTCGAGAAATGGCACGCGCCATGATGATCTCATGTCACCGATTCATATCCGCTCAGTATGTATAGCCCTGGTCTTATGACGTATGACGGCTGAACGAATTCTCAGTCAACAGGAGCAACTGCCAAAAATAAAGCTACGAGCTCGTGATTCTCGCATTCAGAAAGTATCACAATTTAATAAACAAGTAATTTCTCAGACTGTTCCTTGAAAAAATTGCCAGAAAACCAGGAACTCTTACAAGCAGATATATATATATATATATATATATATATATATATATATATATATATATATATATATATATATATATATATATATATATATATTATTTTTTGTATAAACATCTTGAGTCTGTATTATTCCGAGGGAATTGAACAAGGAGAACGATCGGCAGTGTGTTTGATCTCAAACTCTATATTAAAAAAAAGCCAGCACAATGGTGGGACGCTGCCATATTAATTCTTACTATCGCATCAGGTAAAAGGCCACAGTATTCTTTTAAACAAATCACACCTAAGAATATACCACTGTCAAAACTGTGAGTTTACAAAAGAAGCCTAAAGGCACGTGGACTACCCTCTGTAAAATATCTTGCCTCCCCCCCCCCCCCCTTCCTCCCTCCCCCGCCTTACTGGGTCCCTCGGCCTTTTAGTGATCGGCCCATCTGGCCCCCACACTCAAATGGGTTTGAGACCCCTGCCGTACTCGCGGTGACAAGCTCGCTGGAGTCGCGGCTGTTTGTCTCCCTATGGGGAGTGTTCACGTGCTACCCACGCGATTATGTTTTTATTTGCATAGGGCATAAAAGCTTGCCATTGCACGTGCTTGCACCCGCTGAGAAAGTTGATGTATCCTCTCTTTGGATTGCGAAAAATTCCGCCAGGTGGCGATACCCATATTTCTTGCCGCGAATAGTCAACGACATCCTAAGATAGTAGTATCACTTTATGTTCACGTTTCTTGCTTCGTGATTGGTCCTTAGATTTTCTTATCGGCTAATGCCGCAATCTGATTGGATGCTTAGCGATAATGAGATGCACGCGACTTCTTAGATTGCCGGCGACGGGTGTGTTCCAGATCCCAGGAAGATGAAATTACGGGAACGTTTGGATCGATGTGCTGCACGATGCGGTCCAGGGTGGATTCCATCAGTCCCTCGTTCTGGATGGAGCGAGCCAGGGCGTCGATCTCGTTCTCCTGGGTAGCGCCGGGGCAGTCGAACATGTGCTCCGAGTCGCACATGCAGTCCTGGGCAGACTGGTACTCCCGGCTGAAGGTCGCCGTGTTCTCGAACTCCTCCAGGCAGCCGTCCTCACCTGCACGACGGTTGTCGTTCACACGCTCGCCCTTCCTTACGATCGAGTTCTCGTGAACTCTTGCAACGATAGTACAGGCTGGCACGCTGGCGCCATCTGTGAGATGACCCTGGAACTGCATTTCACTAAAGCAAAGTTTTTTTGTTTTTTTTAGGGGCGAAGTTTTTTAGGGTGTAGCCTTGTCCGTCCGGCGTCCGTGCTCACATCGATCTTGCTGGTGCTCATGCACGTGCTCTTGAGATCACGTGCTCACGTGCTCGTGTAGAGTACAAAAAAAGAATGATAAAAAAAAATGTTTGCGCAGTTGACAGGATTCGAACCTGTGCGGGGAGACCTCGATGGATTTCTAGTCCATCGCCTTAACCACTCAGCCGCGACTGCGGGACGAGTAGGGGGCTCTGAGATGTAGAAGTAACTCAAGAGCTGCGGATGTCATGGATGAAACGTTGCATGTAGCCGCTCAACGTCTATACAGAAGAGGGCACTGCTGTCAAATGCGTATATAATCGCGTTAAACTTTGCATGCATTGGCTCAACATTTATAGACGAGAGGGCACTGCGGTCAAATGCTCAAATGCGTATATAACCACGTTTCATACCACACATTCTCTTTCTGACATGGATGAAAACGAACGAAAGGCTCGGCATGCTGCGGCTCAGCGTCTACGCAGAGAAGCACCACCAGTGCTTCGCCCCAATCAACATCATTCACCGCGTGGAGATGCGGTCAATTTTTTTTTTTTTTTCTGCGGCGTTTGAGAGATTAAATGTGCGTACTATTTGTGAGAAATGCTCGTTTATAACATCGTTAAAAGTGCTTCCAGTCAAAAAAGAAAGAACGATGCACGAACAAAACAAAAGTACTAAAACTGAAAGTGCTCCACGGTCAACCCAAAGACGGCGCCAGTGTTTTCTGTCGTCGTAAAAGATTTTAAGAGGTTCTAAGGCACGCGGTCGTAAGCAGTCGCAAGTGCAAGAACCAGAGTTGAAGCAATATAAAATACGCGGGTAATAAAAAAAAAATTTGACGCAGAAACTTTTTCAGTATCCACCTCGCACAAACTTTTCCAAACCGAAGTTTATATGAATTATTGCATAGGCTGATTTACAAATGATTTACTACGTCATCCTTTGTCCTTCGTATATCCGACAAGATCGATTCGCGTGCACGTTCACTGTCCTCTTTTGTCGTACGACATGGACGGGTGTCCGAATCCTCTTTGGTCGCCGACATTTGTGCGTCCTTCCTTGAACTTTGGTATTCATTCACAGATATTTCTGCGCGACATGAAACACTTTTCTACAAACTGTGCACAGTCTTCGATAAATATCGGCAACAGACACACACCCTCACAAGAAGCAAATCGTTGCACGCAAATCGTCCCTGACGCAAATCACAAGTTGGGCAGCCCATTATTTCTCGTACAGCAGTCAAAGCCGAACTGACAAAATACGTCTAAACCTGAAGAGAAGCGACTAAAGAGACAGCGATATCTTTCAAAAACCGCTGATAAAACAGGGCGGCCAACGGAAGTTTAATGGTTACCGAAGGGTGTAATACATTTTCATCACCCTTATAGTATCGGAAACTGTAGTAATTACTGACACCAAACTAAACACATGTACCGAAGGGCTTTGCTCTTCCCCGCGGCACGCCATTTAGTGCCTCTAAATTTAAAGGGCAACTCCGCTCAATTCCGAAAAATTTAGGCTTACATGTGATGCCATTTCACAAAGCACGACTAAACAGCTCTAAGTCTTCAGATTCGCGAAATGTCGAAAATTATTTGTGTAATCTTAATTTAAACATCAGCTGATACCGAAACCGAAACTTCGGTTACGTCAGGTAACATTGGTCTCTTGCCGTCAGAGTCATGGCCTCGTCACGTCGAACCACGTGGTCTTGTGACGTTCGTGGGGGCGAGGGACAGGACACGCGACGCGGGCAGGTGGTTTCGCATGGCGTGGACGGTGATCGCCCGGGGGAGAGAGGGAAGGGGAGAAGACGAAGGAGGAGAGTGGGGGTTAGACCCCCGCACTTCCCAAGTGCTTCAGACTTTCTAAAAATGACCCGATTCTGTGGTTTTGATGACGTCCAGCAAGTTTCTAGTTTGAAGATTTTGTTTATTTTCACTAATAAAATTATTTAAAACAATCAGCCCTTATATTGCGCCCGCCCGGCCATATATATAACTCACTTTCACAGACCGCATTGGTGTGCGTTTTATGGCTTCTTATTAAAATTAATATGATCGACTTAACATCAAACACCCCTTATACTGCTTCCTAGCGCAGATTACCTCTCCTGGGTAAACAAATTTTGTCAATGTCTTATAAAATATATTCTAATATCTAGCGTAAAAAATGTCTTGTTTTCTACTACTCTCGTAGTTTATAATTCACTCGCAGGATTTTGTCATCTCCTCATTTTATTTATACTCGCATGAATGAAAAAAAAAAGATATTGTTACATTTAAATCTTTTCCTTGTCGTCTTCTCACCTATATTTCTAGCGTCCGTTGGTAATGCACACATTCCAAAGAATATGATACCATATTTTCGAGACTGCGGTTCTGGGGTGTTTCAGAGTATTATATGGTTCGTAAACAAATTCGTATAAATAAACTGCTCAACTGAACCTAATAAAACTTTTCACAAAGGTTAACCATAGTTTTGTTTAACCCGAGACGGGGGTATTTCGGAAAAGGGACGAGAAGAAAAGAGGCCACAAGGAGGCGACGTCGCCTCCTTGTGGCCTCTTTTCTTCTCGTCCCTTTTCCGAAATACCCCAGTCTCGGGTTAAACAAAACTATGGTTAACTTCCACCAGCTCGCCTGCACCCTTACAATTTTTTCACAAAGGTGTCGTCTTCATATGGTGCATGTATCTTCTTCAAGTTTTATAAACGTCCGCTTCGCCCCCCCCCCCCCCCCCCCCAAAAAAAAAAACATAAATCTTAAGGTAAAATAAATAAAAAAATAACTGCACAACATAAAGCAAAAGTGCAAAAATCTTCGTTGAAATGAACACTCGAAAGCAGTTTCAGCTGATCCGAGCGTGTGTAGCGCCATGTGTGAGCAGCAGCGCGTTGATCAGACGTGTTTTTTTTTTTATCGTGTTGTCCCTGCTCTCTGCGTAGAATAATGGCGAATTCCACTTGGCTTTATCGAGCTCGCCGGGATCAGTTGACCAGATCCGGAATGGAGCACACGATCCGAACGGGGTCGCGCCACCTACGGTTCCCCAGTGGAACATGACCACTGCTCTGGGATCGGCGGATGCCTTCCCGTCATTCACCTGCCCGGGAATCCCCTTTCCGCGGCCGCCCCGGTCGTTTCGAAGACATTTTCGCAATCGCGGCGCGTGTTCGACGCACGAGCGGCAGGTATGAGGAGCGTCTAGTAAAGATTGCGGGAATGCCCGTAGCGCGGCAAAATCTTCTTCTTGGAAAAAACAAACCGGGTGTCGAGCCAAGGGGTAAGCAAGCGGCCATTACGAATTCCTCTGAGGCGAGATGGGCGCGATCAGGCGAGGTGCCCCGCGAGAAAGGAAGTCACGTGTATACGCCGAGGGCTGGCCCGGCTGGCTTCCGGTTGAATCCGCCGAATCGTCGGGGTGACTTTTTTCAGATTCAGATCGAGATCTGGAGCGGGAGCTAATCCAAAACGACCAGTGGAACACGTCCGTCTCGATCCCGATCGCCCAGTGAAATAGGCTCTCTCCGGCCCCAGGAAAGTCGATCCCGGCGCGCTCCAAACCACCAGTGGAATTCGCCATAAAACAGGACTTTTCAAGCATAAACTTCGTTTGATGAATCTCGCGAGTATAAAACGTTAGTATGATAATCGCACCCACTCAAAGACACATATCTAAAAAAATTTAACGTGTTCTGTTCATTCGTCTATTTACACGAACCTTTTTTACGTTTCAATAGCGGTCAGAAACACCGTGTAGTTTTCATGCGTAAAACTACTTGTACACTTCAAACAAAGACCACGGTCGTCGACAGGTTCCAAGAGGTAGTGCAAAACAATGACTGTGATTCGTTTCTTGTCAGTGGGTTCTTAACTTTTCTGATAGGGCGAAGCTGCAATCTTTTTATAGATCACAGGGATAATTAGGTCGTGCGAGATAGAGTCATTCCCGGTCGCTTTCGAGTTCCGTTGACCCTGCCTTGCGTTCAGCTCATATAGATAGATAGATAACAACTTTAATGTTCCACCAGATAAGGAGAGACTTAGTCCTCGCATGGCTCGCAGGTGACGTCACCACCTCGTGATGACGTCACGCCACTTCATGCCGGGAAAAGTGCAAAGCCCGTGCAGCGGAAGGCGCACGCTCAGCAGCAAGCAGGGAGCTTAGAAGGGTAGGAGGGGTCATGACGTCAGCCGCGTAGCCTCTACAAGCCATGCTCCCTTGTTGATTCCCCTCTTTCTCATTTTTCTCCTTACCCTCCTCACTTGTCGGGCCAGCGTGACCACAGCACGTGACCGTCGCGTGGTTGATGGTTGCAGGTAACAGGGAGCGTGGTGCTGGAGGCTTTTATTTTTCAGTCATCAAAAATAGAAACTGTGGCCCGCGCCCAGCCGACCGATTCTACGGCTGCTGCGCTTCGTTATGTACCCTGAACTGTAAAGTAAATGCATTGTGTTTTCTATAGAGCGTTACCATCCTGTAAACGATAGTATTCAAGGTGGAACGTCAGCGCCGTAACGATTGCCTGTTGTCCTGTTTTGGGTAATGTACCGTGCATCTGTGGGGAGTATTCTTTTATCTCCTGGCCACTATTTACTACAGTAGCCAATGCAAGAATAAATTATATACACGCATGATTGCGTAACTATGTCAACCCGAAAAGTTGGTCGAATACTTACGCATTTTTACGGCGATGATTTTCGCGCTCAACTGCAAATGATAGCTGCGCTCTCCTCGCTATCACGTTATGTCACACTACAATACGTTTCGCATTTTCTTTTCGTTGCGGCCGCTAAAAATTGGGT